TCACAATATTACTGTTGTTATCATATTTCTGATCAAATAAGTGCAGCCTTGGTGCGTATAAGAGACTTCTTTCAAAAACACTAAAAGTGTTGAATGGTAGTGTATGAAATGTATCACATGAATAATATTATAAGTATTATAAATATTTTATTTTATACAAATAAAATTATCGTAATAAAACACATTTTTATTGTGAAAATCAGAGCAGGCTATGTACAGTATATAAAAACGAATATACATTTTCTCTTAATAAATCTTGGTAAAATATTTCAGAAAATGATTTAATTTAATCAAATTATTTGATGATCACTTTTAAATGTGGTGGGCATACTACATTACAATGAAGATTTAAATAAATACACTTTAAGTATTCAATATATTAGACTGTATTTATTTTTAAAGAAAAATATTTTTCTTTCAGACTGGTCATATGTATTTAATTATGTTACATAAAAACGTAGATTAGTCTACACTGAATCCAAAAAATAAGATTACAGCTTGGCTAACTGCTAGTTGGCCAGACTAGTCTTAAGACACTGTCTTAACACAGAGAATACGTTTAAGCAACTGGCCCCAGATTAATAATGTTTTGACCAATGCATTAAATATGATACATATAGAATTATATGGCTAATGTGTGCTCAGCTACAGTGTGCATCTGCATAAACATTGCCAGTTGATGCTCTTCTCCATCATTTGATTTTCATTTGATTGATTACTGCTGCAGTGATCAATAGAACATCTCTTTTAAATGTGTTTGGGCTGAAAAGGCAATGACTTGATTTAAATACCCACAGTGCAGCACTATACCGGTGCAAAGAGCGTCTGGTTAAACTGCATTGTGGGTGGTTAATGAATGAGACAAAGGTGGAGCAACTGTTTAGTAAATTAGCCCCTGGATATCTATAAAGTGTGCTGGAATTTAACAGAGAATGAAAGAGTAGAAAGAAACATAAGAAACAGACCAAGGGAATAGCTCAAGCAATAAGGGAAAGTGAGAAAGGAGCCAGATGAAAGAGGGAAATGGATCATACACAGTAAGCTTAGTGGTGCTTCTTTTGTCTTTAAGAATGCCTGAGCCAGCTGGAGAGATTAGAGCTCTGGACGTCCCAGAAGACCTAGATTAAAGCTAACATGCTTTATTTAGTCCTAAACTCCTGGTCTTAGATCAATGCCAGATTGGATTAAGCAGAAATATGTCATGTGACATGACTACTGTAGGGACTCCCTAACAAAGGCAGCTGGGTAACTCAGTTAATATTCCATTCAATTTCACAATATCAAATTAAGCGATGGCAAATTTCTGTTTGTTTGTGTGATTTTTACTTTTAGATTGTATTATTTATTTAGTGGATTGATTAGACTTTGGCATGTAAACATGTGTAAGCACAATGTTTAGCAGCCACTTGAAACCTTGCAACTTTAAACATAAAAAAACAACTACTACATGAAAATTTTGACATGAACTACTACTACATGAACACTAAATAGACTTTTCAAATTTGATAATCTTACATTAAGGAAATCATTTACTCATCACCATGTTGTTCCAAACCTGTATGACTTTCTTTTTTTTTCTGAAGCACAAAAGGAGACTTTGCAGAGAATATCTCGGCTGCTATTTCCCATAAAAAAAGTCCACATGACTTGTACACTATAATAGCAGCCAGCATATACAACCTTTTTACATGGTAGAAAGTAAGTTATACAGGTGTGAAAGAACATGATGCCTAATAATGACATGTTTTTGAGTGGACAATTCTGATAATTAAGCATGATCTACAATACATGGGCAAAGTATTTTAATAATTAAGTTTTAATAAGCTGACTAATAAGGGACTGAGTTTGTGGCTCTATTTAGGTTCAGCCATAATCTTCAATACAACCTCTAAACAGCTTAGAGAACAAACGGGAAACACAAAGAATTGCTTTGAAATATATTTATATCACTATCACTGTTGTGTTTTAGCTCATAGACACCGATTTCCCGCCTCAATTCAAGCAGCAAGAATTCAACATTACTACAGTTTTCCCACAAATTGAATCCTATAAATATAAAATATAATGTATGCCTATTATGGCAAAGCTGAATTTTTAGCATCATTACTCCAGTCTTCAGTGTCACATGATCCTTTAGAAATCATTTGCTGCTCAATAATTATTTCTTATTATTATCAAATTATCAACTGTGCTGTTTACTATATTTGTGGAAACTGATACTTTTTTCCAGAATGAACAACGTTCAAAAGAACATTTCTGAAATATTTTTTTTTGATCGATTTAATGTAAAAAACATTCAAACAAACTAGAGGAGACCATCTTTCAGTATGTTTATACTCTGCTTTGGTGAAAAGAAAAAAGAGAGAAAGAGAGCGAGAGAGAGAGAGAGAGAGAAATAAATAACAGTTCTGACACAGAGAAGGTGCATACTGCTATGCAAAAGGCCTGTTTACTTAGGCGTTTCATTTATGTGGTGCCACACTGAGCTTCATGATAACACTGGGCTTAATCTTTCAAGTTTACAGACTTCCACCCAACCGCATTTAATGCGGAAAATTACACCTGTCAGTGCAGAGCTCAGTTCATTATTGCTATTTCCAGATCTGTGGAGAAATGCGATTAAGAGTATGATGACACACAAGACTGCAAATCCACACTTAACTACGACCAGCGCGTTTTTTCCTTCTGCATCCATCAACACGCTTTCCTATTTTCCAGATTAGTTTGAGCATGCAAATAAGACTCGGAAATGAACGAAACAACTTTTGGACGAAGACCCGCTTGGGTCACTAATTCTAACAGGAAGGAAAAAGTGAGATGCGCTGTTAACCATTTCCTATCGGGTAAGATTAATATGCTCAGTTAGGCTTGGCATAAGAGTTGAAATGCTGTCTAAATTCAGTTTAAACAGCAATTGATCCTAACTCCCTCAGATTTGATGTTTAAAGCTGAAGAGTGTTATAATATTTTCTCCTATTCCTATTGGAGAAACTCGACAACAGTCATTGTTTTTGCATTTCTGCTTGATGACACGAGCAGAATGGAAATGAAGCACTTTGGCTTTACGTATCTGCTGCATATATTTCTTTGACAGCTTTTAACAACTTCAAAGTCTATTCCAAAGCACACTCTTAAGTCCATCGCATGGTATTAAAATCCTTCCTTTAATATCTCTGTTGATGTCCAGTTATCCTAATCCCAATATTACTATTTGATGAGTTGAAGAAAATCTTTATTTAAACACATTAAACATGTATAGTGACCCCAAAAGGAATTCGGACACTTCTGAAAACTTAACTTAATTTAAAGATGTAAAACATCTTATTAAACATTTTATTAAAACTAAAAAAGTTAAACTTTTTTTTTTCTTTATTGTCACACTGAAACTCTTTATTGTTTTACCCTTGTTCCAGAGCCAGACTTTCAATCTAAAAATATGAAAATTATAATGATAAAAATGATAAAAATATGAATTATTAACTGACAATCGAACAAACAGTGAAATAAAAATAAACCATGTCAATATTTATTGTGTAAAAATGATTTGTATTAATTTTTCAAAAACTGTGGCTGCCCTTTAATTTTTCATCTAAATATTTTTTTTCTCAAAAAATGTGTGTACTTGTTTACCAATGAAACAACAGATTTAGTAAAGAGCTTGAGATGAAACCAATGAAATAAAACTAGAGTGTGAAAAGTGTTTTAAGACACTTTTTACACTTTTTTCCAGATTTTTTAAAGGTCCACAGGACCAAAAGTGCCCATAATTGAAGAAACACACTCATACATTCACAGTCTCGCTTAAGTGGCCTAATTATTTTTTTTGGGAGATATTACAACACTACAAAGGTCCTGCTCTGTCTGCAGTGAAAGAATAAAAACATCTCTAATGAGCTGCCTCGTTTTTTCCAAATTTTGAGTGAGGACCTTATTAGATAAGTACTGTACATGTTACTGTTTTTTTCCCCCGCTTTGGTTCTATTTTCACAAGTAAGGTGTATATTTTCAAAACTCTTAGTACAAAAATCCAAACTGATCACACTTGTAACATCACTAGTCATTCTTTTAAAAACTGATCTCATGCTTTCATTACAATTATACATGTTGTCAATCAACACAATCATTGTTTCAAAACATAAGATTATTGTAATATATATTGAGAGCATTTGATTTAATCACCAAAACACAACAGCATGATCTTTTTTTCGATTTGGTTCTTTTAACAATCAGTTCATTCAAAAGTAAACAATGCAAGATACATGTTTCAAACACTGATCTATAATAGAGAACATTATATATAGATCAGTGGTTTCAAATCACCTTTGTTGCTGAAATAATTACAGAAATACAGGCAATGATTGTCATGTTAAAAAATACACTTGCACGATGATTGTTTTGTACACTGTAATGGATTATAAGATAACTAACAAACTGGTAAAATTTTAAAACAGTTTTCTCTTAAATCAATATCTTTTATCACATAATTATTTATGTGGTGAAATGTTGTGTAATAAGTGGTATGACTGCACCGTATCCCTTAAATGTCTGTCTAGCTTGAACTTGCTGCTTGCTCGCAACTGCTTCGCGTCGGGGTCCTGATCACCCTGTCGGGGGTTATTCTGCGATAACAACCGGCTGGATGTACATTATCCCTTATGTAATGTGCAGATAGCAATGCCATCTGTTTCCATCCATCTCTGATCAGTTCCTCTCCCTTGTATCCTGCTGTATGTTCACAAATTGCTAAATATTGTACTAAGACAATTGAAAATAAGCTGAAATGTTTTGATGATCTGTTGTGATATTAGTACTAAAAGTTTTTTTTTATTATTATTATTTAACAGTTGCTTGTGAAAATAGTACCAAAGCAAATAAAAAAAAACTGTAATAGACAAAGCTGAGAGGAACAACAATATCTGAAGCACTCAAATTCTTTATAAATACATTACCAGGACAAACTTCAGTTGAAACTGAGGATGGACTAGTTTATGGTAACTGACCTCTGTCCATAGCTAGACTCCTTACGGCGACAATGCAGGGTCACAATCCTGTGACCTTCTGTTCTTACATCTTGACTAACCATCCAGAGTGTTGGGTTACTGGGTCGAGCGCCAAGGAACGCCACTCCATCTTTTAACTTCACCCTACAGTGTAGAGAAAGACAAAAAAGAGAAACATCAATGCACTACAGTAAATACATCCCAAAAGCAAATATCATTCAGAAAGCTGAATGCTTCTTTAAGCATTTTTGACATTACTGAGTGTTACACTGGTTGAATCCGGCATCATCTTTTAATGTACATGCATAAGGGCCAATGCAAAAAAAGCCCAGTTAAGGCATCTGTGTAGTTATTACAGCACTTTCCATTTCCAAAGCATTCACTTATGCCAGCAGATTAACAACTGTGTCAACTGTGCGGACCACTTTCTACAGGACCTATCGCTCTCCACTATCTCTCTCTGCATTACACTAAATGAGATATTTCTATGGAGCTGACTGAGTCCTGCAACTGCTGAAGTGCTTTAGTCTCTCCTCTATGGCCTACTGGAGAACCATCCACATTCATATTGAGCATTTAACCAGACACCTGATTATAACTATTATAAGCTTTCATTTTTTGCCAGCTCAAGAGCTCTCATAGTTAAGTAGAGCCTGTAGCAGATTGTGTATCCACCACTTGAGTTGTGGATAATCTACTCAGAGTTAAATCTCATTTTACTCACTATAAATAAAATCACTTTTGAATGATCTTATGACCAAATTAAGATAAAAAATAACATTCTGACACATGCAGATAAATGCATTTTATTAATATATAAAATAAAATTAATAAAATGACATGCATTTTATTAATAACTAAAATTAATCACTACAAATTCCATGAATTCAGGCATCACAACATTATAATGTAGAGTATGAAAATAATTTTGGTAAAACAATTCTCAAAATGAATGTACAAATACGCACAAGTTTGAGGTCAGTAATATTTTTTTATGTTACATGCTTCATTTATTGTTGTTTCACGTTGAAGACTCTTATGCCCACCAAGGCTGCATTTATTTAATCAAAAATAGCCTATAGTAAATATTGTAATATTGTGAAAAATTATTGCAATTTTAAATAACTGTTTTCTGTTTTAATATATTTTTAAATGTAATTTAGTCTTTACTCCAGTCTTCAGTGTCACTGTCAGACTCTGTTCCGTTTTGTGGTTGTTTTGCTCCTCATGTGCCTTCCTTTCCCATGTTTAATTTGTCCCAGGTGTTTCCCTTGATTGTTTCATTATACATTTTATTTAATTTTTTTATTTATTTATTTTTTTTGCCATGCATGCTGTTGTGTGCCAACTCTTTTTCCCAGTGAAAATAAAGCGGGAACTCATGGTTAACATGTACTGTGCACAATGGCCTTAAGAGTTTCAGTGACTAGTAGGATCCAATAATCCAATACGGTGCACACAGAAAAAAACATACAAAGGAATAATAGTCAAACTGAAAGAGCTACTGGGGAGAAAGGCGGAGAATTTAGGCCAATTCACCCAGACACACCAGCGTGTCATTGGTAATGAAAAAGCAGAGTGGATGTGAGCTTGAATAGATTCCATTCTCCCCGTGCTCGGAACCGCTCAAGGCCAGCAGAGGTAGAGAGCAACAGAGGTACGGGCCGACCACAAGCCGGTAATAGGATGACAAATGTCCGGCAAACAGCCAATCAAAAGACTCGGTTGGGGGTGGGACCGCATTAGCATGTGACAGGGGGCCATAATTGACCCAGGGGAGATAACAGATGGAGAGGGACCCGAAATGAGAGAGGTCTAGCTTGGCCACACATCCCTCATTACTAGCCTCCTCTGATCCTTGCAGACCGGTCCTATGATTCATAATTGGTTTCACCATTGGGCGTCAATGCGCGTTTGTTCGAGCACACAGTGCTTCATTCAATTTGTTAGTTCTGAGAACAGGATATATCAACAAATATGAGCGTCGTGCTATAGTTTGCTAACATTTATCTTTACTCTCCCGTCTCGAAAGACTAGGGCAAAGGAAAACTGTCCCTAAATCTGCAGTTGGTCTCTGACCAACATGCTTAAAGTTTAAAGGGTGGCAGACTGTGGTGTCACAGTAGATCAATTCATTACAAGAGTAACATATTCTCGGCAGAAGCATAATACCCCTGTGGCTGAACCCGAGTCTGCAGCTGATGCTTTTGCATACTCTACAACTCCTTTAAAAAATGGTCTGCAGCTCACATTTGATCACAGTACAAGAACATGCTAAACCCATGCAGATTGTAACAGACTATTTTTACATTTTCAGGTTGAAACCTAATGCTTATACAAATGAACTTAAAGTGCCTTTACCTCGCCTAACAAGAACCAACAGTGTTAAAGCTGAATGTGAAGAGATAAAAAAAAAATGAAACTCACAAGATTTCAAACATTTCTGTACAAACGCACAAACCAGCAATGACTAATTTGCCAAAATAAACCAATATTTACTGCCAGAAGTGAACATATATCTGATCTATAATGTATTGTTGTTTTCCCCCCATTTTACCATAATAAAGGATGCAAATTTGAGGATTAAATGTGAATAAAAGGAGTGTGAACAAAACTAAATGGAAAGCAACAGCACCCCTCATGAAGCTTTCTTTCATAGAATTATTAATGCTTCACCTATTTGTGCTCCTCTCGCTCTCTCGTGTGGATTCCTCCATACATAATGATGAGATAAGTGAGATGGGAAGTTGCTCCCGAGGTAACAGTATGAGAAAATAAAAACACCAGCATAACATTCAATAAGTCTTGTGTCTGAGTGCTCCTGGGAGCCCCTCTCTGGCGGTCCCCTGCCTGTGAGTTAGTGACTCACGCTGCACACATGCACGTTCACCATGGTTACACTGAAATAGCTTAACTAACCAGACTATAGTCATTTACAATTGAAACACAAACAATTTCTGATAAAGTAATAGATACCATAATAATAAACTTATAATTAGCAGTATCACACTCACAATCGAGTGGTTGATCACCTCATAGCAGTTTACACAACACAAAAATTCATTCAGCAGTTAAATAAACAAGAAGTAATTATTGAGTAACTTGCGTTTAAACACAACATTGCCTTTTATTTTGCCCATTTTTTCAACTTCAACAAAAATAGTTCTAAACAAAGCCACTGGAACATCTTCTGCCTTTAATTCCCGAATGAACATGCACTTTTGAACAAATAATTTCAGTGAAGAATTCCATGGCTGACTCCTTCTTGAATCAATCGGGTTTTGAACAAATTTTGTGTAACCCAAATACATATTTTCTATACTATTGCACAAATCAGGTCACTAATGACCAATATACTTGCAATAAAGAAATGAGGGGAAAAAAACGTTTTGTTTTTGTATCTAAGCAAGTTTTAATTGATACACTATTCATGAAATAAAGACTAAGAAACATACTAAAAGAACAGAGCGCTAACTTCCAAATATAGATGAAACAGAAGAAATCCCAAAAAGTTGCACAATCCCACACTGACCTCACAAAACCACATCAAGTTAATTCCAGTGCATCCAAAGCATCCATAAAAGTCAGCATTTCAGCCCTGATAAATCTAGGAAACTCAGTGATGCGGGGGATCCGTGTTGTTGTAATGTGTCTGGGGAGACCCCAGACATTACAACAACACGGATCCCCCGCCGTCTCCTGTCAGGCCAGACAGAGAGACACTCACTTGGCAGACGCTCTGTAACAGTGGTGACATCTATGAAAGTCAACAGAAGGGCAACGAGGGGTGACTGAGGATGTTAAATGGGGGAAGATTCTGCTTTGTAGTTGTCAGTGTTCTATCTATGGCAAAGTGACTCTCTTGTTTTTCCATTGTGCTGAGGGCAGATGTTTTTGTGCATGTGCATGTTCATCAGGGAATATACGTATCTCCTTAGATTTGCTGGTGTACTTCTGAGGTGAAGTTGTGCGTATGTGTGCTCTTTCTGTCTGCTTCCGAGTTCCCAGGGCGTGACTCCACAGTCTGCTCTGTAAATCAACATCTTGTTAAGTCAATCTGTTTCGCTATATCTTCTCTCTCTCTCGCTCGCTCGCTCTTTCCACTCTACTGCAGGACAGATTGTTTGATAAACATACACATTTATCATTTACATCACTTGTTCATTTCAGCATATAAATCTTTTTCCAATATGAAGTTGATGATTCCTTCATTTATTCTGTCTGTGTCATGAACATAGATCACTCATAAACACAGCATGATCTCTGATGTGCTACAAGAATGCAAATCTATGGCCATTTTAAGGGGTGCTCACATCTGCAGCGACCAAAGAGCTTCATAAAAACTGAAGGAAATTTGTTATGTGATGTCAAATCAGCAGTTGGGATCAAATATAAGTGCATTTCACCCCTCCAAAAAATCAGGCATTGGTAAAACATCTACTATACTATATCGTCCTAATGAAATAATAGTGATATATGTGTTACTGTAGATGCAGTGACTACCAGTAAGAGTGCAGAGCAGATCCATGTAGGCAAGACGGAAGGGAACTTAATGTTACTGTGAGCAATTTCACATGCAGGATATAATAAAAAAAAAAAAGTGGAAAATGATTCATGCATCGATAACCGTTCATCTTGTTCATGCTATGATGTATTACACACTGCTGCAATTTATACACAAATGCCTCCTCTGCAGAATCACAATTTTAAGCAGCATGAAAGCTGATTTCTAGTCAGAGTATAATACGTCTTATTTCTGATCAGGCTTTTAAGATATGAATGTTACAGCATTGTTAGCGGTCAAACAACCTGCTGACCTCCGGCTATAAAATCTGTCTGTGTGAAATGGCATTTGACATTTTTACGATTTAATTATTCAGAGCAGCTTTTTATGATGATCAGAGTCACTGTCCTGAACACCATCATCATTGCAAATCAACTTCTAAATATAATTACCATAAACTGCCACAAATTGCACCTGATTCAGATTTACATTAAATTTACATCTGCATTTGGCATTATGCATTTAGCAGATGCTTTTATCCAAAGATGAGAATTAGTTTTTCATAAACATTTTCCATTGACCTCAACTGTTTATATGCTTATGTATATTACCATTAAAAATATATATTTTTATTTTAAAT